CGAAAAAGGGGGTAGAAAACAGGGCTTCGAGGAGTTTGGGGGCTCGAACCATCGGATCGAGGCATACAAGTGGTACTCACCATAGAAGCGGTACTTCTGACCGTTGGTATTACAGTCATTCTTAATGGAATGGAAAGAAGCGTAGGCGCCTCAAATCTAAAGAACCCAAACTCTCCGAGGCAAAGTGAAATTCTACCTTGGCGGGGAAGGATGGGCATTGTGCCCTCTCTCCTAAACTGTTTTCTAGCCAAAAGCCGGCGCAGTGAGGACCGGCCACGCTGACCCGAGACAAGTCGCAGGCGTCGTACCGAGCGCGTCGAGACCGTGTCCTGATGTGATCTGTACGGGCGAGTCACGTCGGCGTCAAAGGAGCGACGTGTGACCTGTCAGAGCTTTATCTCCGATCGCAGCTGCCTCTGCGCGTCCTGGGGAGGTACATTTGTTGCGCACCGGAGACGACTCGACGCCGCTGAGATCGGAGATCAAGCTCTGACAGGTCACACGTCGCTCCTTTGACGCCGACGTGACTCGCCCGTACAGATCACATCAGGACACGGTCTCGACGCGCTCGGTACGACGCCTGCGACCCGTCTCGGGTCAGGTGGCACGACGCTCATCGCGCCTGCCAGCGCTGCCGTACAGGTTGCCACGACGAGGTCGAGCACGCTTCTATACGCTCGCCCAGCCTTCCTTTCCATCCCATTAGGCAGCCTGGGAACGGTGATGGTCAGAGGCAAAGCCTACGAGGGGTGGTGGAACCACATGTCACGGCTACTGACGGCTCGACCCCACGATAGCCTCCGAAGGCTGACTTTGCGGCACCATCATCGGACGATGTCGACGAGTTGGGTCGCTCTCGCGGTAGCCAGATGACCTCCCATGCTAGTACCATCGGCTAGGGTCGCAGGAAGCGCGGGGGAGGGCGCTGGGAGCAACACGGAGCTCCGTTGGACGTTTTCAAGATTAGCGTGTCAGAGTGAAATGGAACTAGCCAGGGCGGAGCTCGGCGGGACTAGAGACTGAGATCTGCCCTGAAATCTTCAGGTCTCACTCCTCTCAATCTCTAAGAAAGACTAGAGATTTCGATGACTGCGCGAACCACGGCGGTTGTCTCGGCTCTCTCTCGAGACCCACCCCTCTCTCGCTTTTCTCTCTCTCTCCACCACCGACTGCACGCCCTCTACCGGAGAACCTCGCGCGAGCCGTGAGCGTGCACCGCACGCGCCGGCATCGTTGCACACGGGAGGCGTGCACGCTCCGACGTCCTGCTGGCGGCACCGGGCTCAACAAGACCCACCGCTGGCGCCACGCGCTCTCGCACGATTGGCGCAGTCGGGCTGGTTTGCCGCCGCAGGTGCCGCCGCCGTACCCGCGCGGACCGCGCGCCGCGGCCGGCCACGGCGAGGAGCGCCCGCGGCGCGACGCCGCCGCCACGACGGCCGCCGCCGCCCGGCGCACTCCGCCGTGGCGACGACGGCCTCCGCCGGCTCCCCTCGCCGTCAAAGCGCGACCGCCGAGGCAGGTCGGCTCGGGCCTCTCCCGCGTGATGGCGGTTCCTGCGCGCGCGCGGGCGGAGCGTGAGCGCGGTCGGCCGCCCGACGCGTGCGCCACGCGCCCGGAGCGGGCACGCCACGCGCCGGGCACCGCCTTGGTGGGCGCGTCTGGAGGGCGAGCTCGGGGAGGGCGAGCGTTAGAGGGGCTCGAATGGGAGGCGCGGCGGCCCGCTGAGCAGCCGCCGCACCCGATGGGCGGGCGGGGCCGGCACGCACCGCAGGGCCGTGTGTGCGGCGAGCCGCCGCGGCATGCGGACCTTTCCGTCCCCGCAGCGTCCTCGAGGACCGGGGTTGAGCTGAGCGCCACGGCGAGGGCGCGCTATCGCGCGGCGCGAACGAGCCCGGCGCTGCGGCATGTGCCGGTGGGCCCGGGACCGGCGTGTCGGGGGCAGAGGGCGCGCGGATAGCCGGCGCCTGCTGGTAATCACCTGGCGAGAGTCGGCCCTGAGCCACCTCAACGACGGCGAGCCGAGAGAAGAATTTCGCAAAAACACTGGGCACTTCCCCGCTGCCCGTTTCCCTCTGTCCCTGATCGTCCTTACAAGATCCTGCTCGTGCAGGTGGGGACCCTGTCCGCTTCTACTACCCCCCTCGTTGGCGTGTCCGTTCCAACTTGTTTATTTACTGCAACGGGGGCAAAACGTAAACGAGTCGAGCCGCTGAGCGCTGTGAAACGTATCACGCCAGCCAGGCGAGAATCATGCTCACCGGGCAAAACGACACGGGCAGCCACTTGTACTCGTCGCACAGTGCCACCAGGATCCGGATCCTGTCTACACTCTCCTCCACGGCGCTCGGGCCGGCCGCGGGGACGAGGGTGGCGCGGCCCAGCGCCTCCAGCAGCAGCAGCCGCACGAGCAGCGCCCGCTTCGGCGAGCGCGGCACGCCGTGCTCGGCGGCCGACCCCGCCGCCGCGAGCTCTCGTGTCATTGCCACAAGCGTGCCCGGGCCGCGCTCGACGCGGAGAATCTCGCCGCGCTCGTACTGCTCGCGCGGGCGGCCCGAGGTGCCGGGCGTGTAGAGGCAAAAGGGAAGGAAGCCGGCCGCCGGCGGCGCCCGCCGCGCGTCCAGCAGGAAGAAGCCGCACCGCGCGAGGCGCACCTCCGGCCCGAGCTTGTTGATGTCGAAGTCGATGTGCTCGTGGACCGTCACCACCGAGGTGACGTACTCATTGAGCGGAAATGAGAGGCGCAGCTGTCGGCCGCCGGCGAGCCGCTCTGTGTACCGCCAGTGGAAGTCGGCGTCGCCGCGGGCGTCGCTGTGCGGGTGCGACGCCGTCTCGATGAGCTCGACGGTGATGACGCCGTCCACGACGTACGCGCGCCGGCAAAAGGCGGCAAAGGGGCCTAGCGAGCGCGGCGCGGGGCGGTGAGTGGCCGCCCTCTCCTGGCTGCTCGAAAGGGGGGGGAGAGAGGTGCACCGCAGGCGGCGTGCGCGGCGCCGATGTCGGCGCAGGTGGCGAGCGGGTCGGTGGTCTGCCAGCGGCTCGGCGCCAGCGGCTTCCACCCGCGAAGTCCGACCACCATCGCGCGCAGCTTGCCGCGGGAGCGGGCGTAATTGTGCGACCTGCATTTGGCGCCGGCAAAGGAGTTGCTGCGCAGCTTCGGCAGCAGCGCGTCGCCGGCGGCGACGAGCTCCTCGGCCGGCCGCACGCCCCCCGCCTCGTCGGACAGGCCCACAGCGCCCACCCACATTCCGCACACGAAGCGCAGAGCCTCCCCGGCCACCGGGTACACCGCCCCCGCCGCCGGCGCTCCAACGGCGATCTGCGACACGCGCGTCGTCGGCGCGACGTAGCCGTGGAGCGGGGCCGCCGCATGCGAGTGCACCTTGAGCAGCTCGCCGAGCGCCACGTCGGAGAGGTAGTTCTCACTCTGCGCGCGGATCTCGGCCCGCAAGTCGAGGGCTGCAAAGCTTGGACTGGGAGCGAAGCGCGGGTGCCGCAGCTCGACTTTGCGGAGGGCCATCCAGAGTTCCTCCCCCTCGTCCCACTCCAGCAGCCCGTCGCTCCCCTTGACGAGGCCGCACAGCGACCCGTCGCGGTGGGCCTGGAGCAGCGGCTTCATCGCCGTCTCGAGCGCCGCGCCGCCGTCGTCGCCGGCGAGGGCGAGGGCGGCGCGCAGGCCGACGAGACGCAGGTCGCGCCGCGCGGTCAGCACCAGCTGCAGCGAGGAAGCGGTGGCGGGGGTGACGAGGCGGCCAAGGTTCTGCAGCCAGGCGCCCTGCTCGACGCGCTCGAGCGCCTCCGCGACCGCGACCAGCACGTCAGTGCGCGCCGCCGCACCGGCGGCGGCGTCGAGCGAGGAGGAGGCCGAGGCGGCGGCGGCGGCGGCGGGGGGGGCGCGGGCGGCGAGGTCCACCACTCGCAGCAAGGCCTCTAGGCTGGAGGAGACGTCCTGCTCGACCCGGTAGGTGGTCCAGAGCCTGTGCCCCTCGTCCCACTCCAGCAGCCCGTCGCTCCCCTTGACGAGGCCGCACAGCGACCCGTCGCGGTGGGCCTGGAGCAGCGGCTTCATCACCCGCTTGAGCGCCGCGCCGCCGTCGTCGGCGGCGAGGGCGAGGGCGGCGCGCAGGCCGACGAGACGCAGGTCGCGCCGCGCGGTCAGCACCAGCTGCAGCGAGGAAGCGGTGGCGGGGGTGACGAGGCGGCCGACGATCCGCAGCAAGCCGCCCTGCTCGACGCGCTCGAGCGCCTCCGCGACCGCGACCAGCACGTCAGTGCGCGCCGCCGCACCGGCGGCGGCGTCGAGCGAGGCGGAGGCCGAGGCGGCGGCGGCGGCGGCGGGGGAGGCGCGGGCGGCGAGGTCGACGCAGGCCGAAGAGGGGGCGGAGGCAGAGGCGGGAGCCATCGCCCAGCGTCCACGAACAAACGACGACGTCAGCAGCCCGGCCGCGTCCCACTCCAGCAGCCCGTCGCTCCCCTTGACGAGGCCGCACAGCGACCCGTCGCGGTGGGCATGGAGCAGCGGCTTCATCACCCGCTTGAGCGCCGCGCCGCCGTCGTCGGGGGCGAGGGCGAGGGCGGCGCGCAGGCCGACGAGACGCAGGTCGCGCCGCGCGGTCAGCACCAGCTGCAGCGAGGAAGCGGTGGCGGGGGTGACGAGGCGGCCAACCTTCCGCAGCCAGCGGGCCTGCGCGACGCGCTCGAGCGCCTCCTCGATCGCAACCAGCACGGCCGTGCGCGCCGCCTCATCGGTGGCGGCGTCGAGCGAGGAGGAGGCCGAGGCGGCGGCGGCGGCTGTCGAAGCGGCGAAGGCGGCGAGCATGGATTCGTCAGAGATTTTTTGAGCCGGGGGGAGGGCCTTCGCCCCACTAACTCGACCACGGAGGAAGCGGTTGCGCGGGGTCCGACGACCTCAAGCCGACCGCATTCGGCCGATCTTGTCCACATAAACGCACGATCTTGTTCACGGCCACGTGATCCCGGGTCCGGATAGCGTGACGTGCCCTTCACCGACGAGAAGGGGAGCGTCAGCGACAGCTCCACGGCCGGCAGCAGTTGGCCCTCCACGCCGCCGGCCGGGACTCGGCAGCCTGTCCCCAGAGACAGGCCGCGGCCGGGCAGGCCGAGCGTGCCGTCCGTCAAGGCGCTCGCCAGCCTCGGGGGGAGGCTGCGAGGCCTCTCGTTCGGCGACTTCTCGCGGCGCTCCGTCAAGGAGCGCTCGTTCGAGGCGTCCTTCCGCGAGGGCCACGCCTGCTCGAGGGAGCCGTCTGGCTCGCAGTCCAAGCGAGCCTCAAAGGTCGCGTCCTTCGAGGGGGGCGTGTCTGCTGGGGCGTCGAGGGAGGCCTCTGGCTCGAGGGAGCCGCCCAAGCGAGCCTCAAAGGTCGCGTCCTTCGAGGGGGGCGTGTCTGCTGGGGCGTCGAGGGAGGCCTCTGGCTCGAGGGAGCCGCCCAAGCGAGCCTCAAAGGTCGCGTCCTTCGAGGGGGGCGTGTCTGCTGGGGCGTCGAGGGAGGCCTCTGGCTCGAGGGAGCCGTCCAAGCGAGCCTCAAGGTTCCGCTCCTTCGAGGCGTCCTCTGCGGCCTCGAGGGAGGCCTCCTCCAAGCTCCCTTCCTTCGAGACGGGGGAGGCTTCGCGCACCCAGGCCTCGTGCCGCACCCCCTCCTCGGACACCCTCTCCGAAAGCTCGCGCGCCTCGGCGGCGCACAGGGGCGAGGCGGCGCGCCCCGCTGACGCCTCGTCAGCCGAGAGTCTCACTAAGGATGTGGTGCGAAGGATGCTGCGAGACATGGAGCGGCGAGATAGGCAGGAGCAACCGCCCATCGCCCCGCGGCACGCGGCACGTCAGCCAACCAGTGCGCCCTCTCCCCCCCCTCTCCTTACCCCCCCCCCCCTGTCCGTGTGAGAGATCCGCTAGGATCTCCAGTCTTAATCTACTATCTCTACCCCAACGATCTCCTGTTCTTGCGCAGAGATGTCCATTACTCGGCTAAGTGCCTCGCCGTCCTCGCGGGAGTCGCTTAGGCGGCTCCAGTGGTGTACCTGTGTTAGTGCCAGTGCGCGCCAGTCCCGTGCCCAGTAAATAAATAAATAAATAAAACAGACATCCCAACCTAGGGCTGGGTCGAGGACAGACACGTCCCCACCTTTGCAGGATTTTGCAAAAGCGAGGGGGGAGGGCGCATCGCGGCGCGGAGAGGGCTGGGCACGGGCACAGGGGGTCTCTCTCGCATAGGATACGCACTCGGCGGCACGAGGGCAGGGCTGGGCGTCCTATTTGTGCTCCCCTCCGTATCCCTCGCTCTTGGGCACTATTCATCTGACCACTCATCAGAGGGGCTTCTAGGCGATCGGCCGCGTGCCCAGTGTGGTGCGAGGGAGTTTGTGTAAAATTCTTGCGAATCTCCCCCCCAAACGGACCAGAGCTTTGCACACTGCGCATGAGCTTTGCATCCTGTACGAACACCTCGTCGGTGGCGACGGCGGCTGGCAGTTGGAGCAAGGACGCCGACAGCGGCTTTCGCTACCATGCACGCGACTGCCTCCTCGTGCGCCCGTCGGCCAGCCGGGTGCGCAAGTGCCTCAGACATCGCCACCTGCTCTTCGTCGGCGACTCGCTACAGCGCTATCTGTATCTCACGCTGGCCAATTTCCTCGTGACTGGCGAATGGCCCCGCGACTTGAAGGCTGGTGAGCGCTCGCCGTGCTTCGAGGGCGCCTATGCGCTCAACAAGACCCGCGACGAGGTCTGGCCCGAATACTTTCGAGGCACTAACAGCGACTTGCGGGGCGCCGAGATCTGCGACTGCTTCCGCACCACTTGCTGCAGCGAGGCGGTGCTCAACGAGAATCGCTACACGCTGTTTGACGGCGCAGCGGTGAGCTTCGTCTCCCAGATGGTGTCGCCGGGCTGGGAAGTTCACGGCTCTACCCTCCCCGACAGCTGGCCTCGCATGCGGGCGAGCACAACCTGCACGCCAGGTGAATGCGTCGCCACGAGCACTGGCCGCAACCGACCTTGGCGCATCGGCGCATCGGCCAACATGCCCGACAAGCGCTGGGCATGGTCGGAGCCACTGCCCAAATTTCTGCGCACCACCATGCCCCACCTCGGCGTCACGGACGTGCTGTTCAACCCGGGCCACCACTACAATCCGGACACGAACCTGCTTTTCATGCGGCGCGTGTTCGATAGTGCGATGCGAGGCGCGTCGCATCGCGCATGGTGGCGCACTACCACCCCACGGCTCAGGGGAGGTCTTAGCGCCACCTCACGCCAAGGCTTCCCTCTCGGCGTCAAGGGCGCCACGAGTCTCGCGCACGAGATGGGTGTGGGCGTCGTGGACGTGCTCACGATGCTCATGCAGCTACCAAGGCAGCTCAAGTCTGCTGACTGGGCTATCACCGAGGGCGCGTTCGTCGATGGGGTGCACCTGCAGTGTAGCGTCAATCGCGAGCTACTCATCGTCATGCTGAACGCGATATGCGCGTTTTAACCCCCTCCATCTCCCTCCACAGAATGCACAATACAGGTACAGGTGCGGGAAACAGAATCCCACCCAAGAATGCACTGTGTGTGCAGAGAGGGTCTGTTTGTAACTCCATGAAGAGTGCAAACTGCATGCTACATGTCTTAGATAGAGGGAGAGGGAGAGGGAGATTACAGAGGGAGAGGGAGGGGCGAGCGAGCGAGAGAGAGAGAGATGTGAGCTGTGAGGGTCGGCCACGCAGCGGCGGAACCGGATCGCCGCGATATGCCGATATCGCGACGTGTGTGTGTTGGAGAGCGAAGCGCCCGCTGAGCGCGCGCCAAAACTCTTTTTTACACTTCCATTTTTTTGCCTGCCAGTCATTTCCAAAAGAAAGAAAACCCCAATTCATTTCCTTGCCAGTGCAGCCCAAAGCTGATCTTTCTTTCAATCAGGTGTACCTGTGTTAGTGCCAGTGCGCGCCAGTCCCGTGCCCAGTGTAAAGAAAGAAAGAAAGAAAACAGACACGCCAGCGCCACTGGCAAGCGGTGGGGATCCCTCTCGAGTCGCTCGGGATGGAGCGCTTCCCCACGCTAGCCGCCTGTCATGGGTGCGGCGGTAAATTTCGCACACTGTTCCACGTCAAGCCGGAAGACGGACCTGCGGCTACGGGAGTGGCTGAAGAGGTGGTTAGCGCCATCCTGGAACGGATCTCGGAGCGGGTGGAGGGATGCGGGCCTCACTAGAGGTGCGGCCTGTGCGTGTCCTCGCCCTTGAGGGGGGAGGGGAAGGGGCTGTGTGTCTGTGCATGTGTGTGTGTGTGTGTGTGTGTGTGTGTGTGTGTGTGTGTGTGTGTGTGTGTGTGTGTGTGTGTGTGTGTGTGTGCGTGTGGAGCCGCCCTGAACGCCACGAGCGCCGTCGGCAGCGCGCGACCGCCACCCAAAAGTGGAGGTACATTAGGAGCCGCAGCCGGCCTGCTCTATCAGCCCCGCAGCCGCGGTGGCGCGACCGTGCCCAGTGTTGTGCGAGGGAGTTTTGTTGTAAAATTCTTTCAATCCTTTTGCGTCGTTTCCTTGAAATTTTGCCGTCCTCGAGTACCCCCCCAGAACGGCAGACATACCTTGCCGTAACCTCGGCCGAGGAAGTCTGCGTGTTGAGGCCCTCGGTGCTCCGACCTCCGCCGACGGCCTCGCCGCTATGATCCCGCCGTATTCGCTATCGGCATCGCCGACGTTGCTCCTTCGCCCAGCGAGCTCGCTCTCTCATTGGCCGCTAGACCGCGTTCAATTCTCGCCGCGTTTAAGCGCAGAAGCGGTGCCTTGGACCGGCTCCCCACCTGCCGCCTCTGGCCGCTCCCACTTGCCGTGGAGCGCGCCTCACGAGGAGGCAGACGACGCTGCGGTGGACGCGGCTTCGGAGGACATCACTGCCCTGCTTGTGGCGGTCACGCTCTGTCTCGAGGCAGTCGGCCCGCTCTCCTTGGCAGCGGTGGTGGCCTCCTCCCTGCTGCTGACGTCCACGGGGCTGCTCCCCGAGGGCCTGCCGCTCTCCTGGTCGCTCTCCGACGCCGCGCCCTGGGCTCCCCTCGTCTGCGCCGCCGTCGCGAGCGAGGCCGCATTTTATCTCGCCTGCATCGCTACCGCCCACCTCTCGTCCTCGACCCTCGGCCACGCGCCTGGCGCTGCGAGGCCCGGCGTGCGTGCGTGGCCCGAGGAGCGGCGGGCCGCGCTGTGGCGCCGCATCCTCACCGACTCGTCGACGACGCCGCACGACTTTGTCGCCGAGTGGATGTACCGCGAGGGGTCGGGTGCAACCTCCCCTGCGGCGTTGCTCGCCGAGTGGGCGGCGAGGCGAGTCGGCCTCTCCAAAGCCCGCAAGGGCCGGGCCGCAGAGCTGTCTGCGGGCGGCGTCGCCTACTCGGATCTCTGCGTCGGCGACGTGTACGACTGGCTCGCCGCAACCTTCTTCGGCGCGAGTCGTGCGGACCTGACGCCGGCGCAGGCCCCGCCTCCCCACGTCGCTCTCATCTGCGACGCTAGGAGATCTTATCCCGCTAGCCGCTTCGCTGAGCTGTGACTGTTCGCTGCTACCTCTCTCTCTCTCCCTCCCGCCCGAGTTTCAGCCGGGGTGGAGCCGAGGGCTTGACCTCCACGACTCCCTCGCAGGACCGCGAGCTGCGGGAGATGGTGGACAAGCTCGAGGCGGCGAGCGGAGCCCTGCGCCGGATGCCCGGCGACGTGGACGGAGCGCCGAGCCGCGCCTTCGCGACGTCGCCCGGCATCCGGCGCTACTGCGCCGCCGCCGACGCCGTCCGGTGGCGCCACCGGCCGCTCAGCTACTATGCCGTCTCTCATGGGGTTGGCGCGGCCGCGTACACGCCGTGCGTCGCCACAGATGCGGGACACAGACCCTCCTAGAGAGGACACTAGAGAGGACACGTGTGCAGCTGTGCTCAGCTGTGCTCAGCTGTGCTCTGCATGACACCGCGGTCCTCGCCCCGACTT